ATTTTGTCTTTATTTTTGTTAGAACAGAGAATCCTACGTCACATTTATATGTTGTTGTGAAAGGAATAAGAAGCAAAATACTTGCTTTACTTAAGCACTTGTAGAGCAAGAGCCTCTGTGATTTTCACAGCGCGAGGGTTGTCTCTGGACATTTTCTCCCGCTTCAGCAGAGTTTGCTGCAAAGTTGGTTGTTGTTGTTTCCTGCTCCCTTGAGAAAACTGCTTGAACTCGCTGTCGTGTTGGTTTTTTAGATGTTTTATGAAGTTACTTGTGTTAAAGCTGCTAGGGTTTTTTCCTCCTCTGGACAACTTTCCTGAACATAATTTGCGGTCGGCCTTACTGCTGTCACCTTCAATCACCTAAAAATACCTCCACACCGCTGACATAACGCCTCCTCTACAAACTGCTTGCTTGTTAAAGTTTGTTCAGCTCGGCTAACGTGGTCGTTGTCTTCTTCTGTTTTTTTATGCGGCTGGCATTAAGTCTGTTGCGTGACTCCGCCGCCTACTGGTTTAGTGTCTATGCACAAACTGAGCGAAACGAAGTTGGTATCGGGTCCTGTAGTATCGGAGCACTTTTATAAGTACGAGTACGAGTTAACGCACATGGTATCGGACCGATACCCGATACTGGTATCGGTATCGGTGCATCCCTAGTAAAAACGTTTCCACTTGCAGAAAATGTCATCATGCTCTCCCTGTAGTTTCAAGCTCAGCTCATTGAGCAATGAAAATATATCAGACAGATATGACAACATAAAAACCCACCAATCAGTAAACAGATCAGCAAGTCTCGAGGAGGAACGCAGGAATTTCATTTCTCAGTTCATAAACTGCTCAGAACTCTTCCTTTGGACTGGTCCTTTGAGTGGGGGTGAGGATGAGGGTGGGATGGTGRGATTGTGTATGTTTGGGTATTTGTCAGGCTGCGGTCTGGGCTGACCCTCCTGCTGGTTTATCTGGGTCCCGCTGCTACTCGGCCCCCCGGTGGGGTGTGCGGCTGGCCGCCGGCGTGCTGGGGGTTCCCGGGGTCTGGGGCTGGGCGCTGGGGTGTGTGCCGGCCTGGCCTGGTGACTGCCTGTTGGGGCTCGGGGCCTCTGGGCCTGTCGGGTTTTGGCCTGGGGGGTGGGGGTGTTCCCAGGGAGCCTGGACCTCTGTGCCCTTTCCTGGATCTGCTTTGCTTTGGTATGGCGGGTGCCGGTGGGTCC